TGAAAACCAAGGGGACATATCCGAGGGCCATGCTGCTGCTGGCAGGGAGGGAAAAGATGGGGCAGTAAGATGCACATGGCTTGTTGAATAGAGCAGGGACGACGTAACAAACCCTTGAGACACCTCCGTGAGAATCCGGCCCTTCAAAGCTGATGCAAGTGAAGTTTCTGGAGAATCTTCAGGTGAAGATTCGGGTGAAGAGCTGGTTCTAGGAGTTGAGTGCAGGAGGGCGTCGTTGATTCTCCTCAGTTCAGCCTCAATCAGAAAAGTTGTGATGGCGTGATCAGCAGCTAGTGCAGTGACTGCATCTTGTGCGGCAATTGCTTCGGCTGCATCAGCAGTAGCGACAGCAGCAGCCGCATCAGCAGAAGCAGAAGCAGCAGCAGCAACAGCAGCAGCAGCAGCAGCAGCAGCAGCAGCAGCAGCAGCAGCAGCAGCAGCAGCAGCAGCAGCAGCAGCAGCAGCAGCAGCACCAGCAGCATCAGCATCTGAAGCAGCAGCAGCAGCAGCAGCCATATTAGACACAATGCTTAAGAAAAACATGTCAGAGTTGCAGCACGGACCAGCTACACAAGGAGACACAGCCTTGAGGCGCTTTACAACTCCATGTGGACTTGCACCAGGATCAGATGAGAGTTTTGCCGAGTCAGCAAAGTCAGAAAAAGCCGAAAAATCCGCATCAGCAGCACCCGCACCAACAGGAGGAACACGACCCAAGCCAATCAGATCGGAATCTGCAGGCTGAATTAGCATCAATCTTCGAGCCTCATCACCAGAAGTCGCATAATCAAGCGGTATTGGTTCCGCTTCAGCTTGCAACGTGTTCTGGATGTTGCATTTAGTGCTGTAGACACCGTCCTGATCAGCGTGCAACTTGCTCTGAAAGTTGAGTTTTGTATCAAAGGCGCTGGCACTGTCCTGCTGCTGAGGAGGCCATTCTCCCAGGAGCAAGGCTTCGAACTCCGTCAGCTCTTGCATGGGTGAACTTCCTAGTGAGAATTTTCCAGCGTTAGTGTCACTTTCAGGAAGAGGGAGTGGAGGAAGGAGAGCGCAGGTGAGAGAGGGGGTTGAGGAGTGAGGATAAGAAGTTGCAGCGGGTGGAACGTGGGGCGAGGCTGAAGGACCTGACGACCCCTGGGGAACTGAATGTGAGGGTGATGTTGGGAGGAGCGGCTGTGATGTTAGGAGGAGTTGCTGTGGAGCTGGAGGGAGCTGCTGTGAGGATGGGGAGTGTTGGTGCGATGCTGAACAGCATGCTGCTAAACAGCATCGCTGCACTGCCAATGGAGCCAGTTGATGAGCGGAGGAGCATGGGGTCGGAGAATGTGAGGCAATGGCTGCTGCGCTTGCACTTTCCACCATCGCTGCTGCCCGAGCCGCTGCTGCCGCTGCTGCTCCCGCTGCTGTCACTTCTGCCACGGCGGCTTCTGCTGCTGCCGTTGCGGCTGCTGCTGCCGTTGCTTCTGTCGCTGCTGCTGCTGCTGCTGCTGCTGCTGCTGCTGCTGCTGCTGCTGCTGCTGCTGCTGCTGCTGCTGCTGCTCCTGCTCCACCTCCCACACCGAGTCGACATGTCACTGTTGTTGCTGCTCCAACCTGAAAATTCATCGGCGTTGTCATTCTCTCCGTCTCGGGCATATCCAGTGCTGAAGCGTGCTTATGCTGATACGGTGCGTGCTGCTGCCGCTGACATGATGAGTTGCTGAGAGCTGAACCGGACGCAGAAATTCCTGAAGTGTTCTGAATGATGCCGGCGAGAAATAAATCGGATTTGCTTCCTGAACAATTCGGCACGACAGCTGGCTTCATCATGTGCTTGGCGATTCTCGGTTTGACCGTCATCGTCATCATTGCTTTCCAGTCCCGGTCCTTGTGCGCTGTACCTCGATTTACTCTTCGAGACGAGCCGAAGGCAGAAGCGTTTACGTGTGTCGTATCCTCGCTCTGATTTGAAAACTTTCTACACGACATAGGAAAGCGGAGAGGGGAATGTGAGAGGAGGTATGAGGCAGCACACGGTTTTGTGTGGATGTAAATGTAGCTGTAGCAACGTCGCCAAGTCATGATGAAGAAATGTCAAGTTAGAAAATTAGCAATATCAGGTAATGTTGAGAAAGGACTTACCCTTTGAGCACAAGAAAGCGGTTACAGCAGGCCTTGTGGTCTCGCGTGGGTAGAAGGCCCATGGACTGTAACCGTGTCCATTTGTTTGTTCCATGCCTTGCCACGTGGGCCAATAATATATCGTCTTCCCACACACACCAACAAAAAGAGATATTCAGCGACACGAACGCGAAAAAACGGGAAAAAAAAAAAAAAAAAACACACACACACACACACACACACACACACACACACACACACACACACAACAGAAGGAGATTCGTGTACCTCCGGCCTCCATAGTATGCCAGTTACCCGCTTCTTCTTCTCCTTAGCACCTCCAGAAACTTGCTCTTTCAATCCCGAACGTAGTAACACAGGCCTCATTGCTCCCAGACTAGCCCAACAAGCACCCTAATGAAGAGCTTTAGCCTTAAAATTCCCGTTCCCTTGGCCACTCGACAAATTCTGGCTTCGCCAAAGTGGCGAAATGCTGGGTAGACAGATTGTGGCGAATGGTGGGGAGTCTCGCAGCTGCAGACTTTATAGTAATGCGAACAAGTTGATGGATACACCGAAAAGTGATCCAGCTGAAATTGAGTTTGGCGATAGAGAATGGAGTCAAAGGAAGCACATTCCAGAATACTTCTGTCACGCGTAAGATATGAGTCTGAAAGAATAGTACGACCCCAAACCAGAGTTTGAACCTTCTGAGTAAACCTTCCGGCACGAACCGCCAAGAGGTTTGATAGAATCTGTCTGAGATTGGATGATAGGGATGGAGCCGCTCCATGTTGAAGCGTGCAATGGATACAGTAGTACCGACCGCTTTCTGAACGTAGGAGGGACTGATATTGCGAGTGTGATAGAGATTGACGCACGCGGGAACTCGGACAAGTCGCAGGAAACGAGTGGATGCGCCATCCCAGCGATGCGAGCACTCAGACGACTAAGCTACTGCTACCACAACCTTTGTATGCAGTTTCCTGGTGGAACTACCTACTTGCCGGCCGGAAGACCCCAGCGGAATCAGGTCGACGGACCCGAGTTGCCAGGGTCGACGAGGGGGGTCGACGGACAGGGGTCTGACGAGGCGGGCGAGTGACGCGCGTGCGGGCCCGCCAGCCTGGCCCTGGGCTGGGCCGGGCGCACGACCGCCGCCCCGCAACCCCCCCCCGAGAGTGAACAGCGACCCACGTTACCGGGTGGGGGCGGCGAGCTGGCGAGACCTCGGGCGAGGGAAAGTAACCCTGCCGCGAAGGCAGCCCACCCCTCCCTCGTGCCCGCGAGGCCCTAGTAACCCATCGCGGCCTGCCCGTACGGGCAGGCGAGGTCCACGCGAAAATCGGGGGCTCCCCTCGGGTCGCTCGACTATTTCGCGACCCGTTGCGGTGACGCCACGTGCTCGCCCGTCATTTCGCATCGCATGCATGAGACATTTCGTACCCCCCGAAACTCGAGCGAAAACTGGGTCGTTCGCCACGGGGCGCACGGCTATCGCGACCCTCTGCGAAATCGACACGTGGTGCCGAAACGTCGCACCGCGCCCACGCGAAGTTGCGTCCCCTGGCCGACCGAGGCCGGGGGACGTGACGTCGACCTGTTGGCTCGGCGGCGAGGGTGCACTTGTGCCACGCAACTTGTACACGAGCCCTGCCGAGCCAGGCATCACGGCCCCCTGGGCGACGCTCAACCGGGCCTGCGTGGCTCCGCCTGGCTTTTCTTCGTTGGAGGTGGACTGGCCCCTCATTTTCGCGTTCTCGTTTCTCTTTCATTTTTCCTCCCACCTCGGCGCCTTCCATACTCCCACCGTTTCTTCCCTTAGCCTGTAGCATAGCATCCTCGCTCTCCCGCCATGGCAGCCGGCCAGAAAGCCGCCGAAGCGGCGCCGACCTCGCTAGATTTCCCCCTGCATCTAGACATCGGTAGAGGACACACGGCCAAGTTCGAAGAGCACGACTACGCCGTTCTGACAAACCCTATGCTAGAGTTTAACGCCCGTTGCTTGGGACTCGGTCTCAAGTGAGTGTCTTATGGAGATGTCGTCGTCGATGGGCCTATTCCATGCTGGTCGGCCATGGCGGGGTTTCAATGCGTCCAGTAGTATATGTCGACGGGCTTAGAGTTCAGGCACATCACATCGGTGATGCCGACGTAATGCGTTAGGTCGTCGACGACGCTGAGTTGTGCCGAAGTCGTTCGGCTCCCGTCATTCCACCGTCGTGCCGCGCACCTATACCTCTCTAATTTGTTGTAATCATGCATGCGTGCAGGCACGCATGGATCCGCTCAACGGATGCAGGCGAGCGATTGTGGTCGATAGGAGTCGGCCGGCTTCGGGCGGCGATGGGTCAGGACGACCACACATGCTTTGCGACGATTTTCGACGCCGACGTGGCGGTTATCCCACTGATATCGAGGTGAGCAGGTTCGAGGTCCTGCTGTGTGCTGCAACCTGTGTCGGTGATTTGTTCTGAGCGCCATCGACGTGCCTTGTCTGTGCAGCATCGCACCGCTTCCGGGAGCACATTGCAGCGTCGTTCTCATCCTGTGCCCCGGCGATTTGTTCAATGCCTCGGGGCAGGAGGTCAGGACCTCGATCCGGCACGCCGACCCGCAGACAGTGAAGGAGTGGCACCGCGACGAGGCGATCCGCGTGCTGAAGTGAGCTCGATAGTTTAGTCGACATCGCATACATTGTCGACACGGCGCGTGCACCGTGCTAACCGACCGTCCTTGCCGTGCTTTTGCAGGTTTTTCCGGACCGCTGTTCTGGCCGAGCTGCGGCGCGAGGGTAGGAAATGGGAGTGGGCGAAGCCGTCCGAAGACGAGGTGCAGGAGAGGCTCGCCGACTGCGACGAACCCCTTCGAGATGTGAGTTCCGGACGATTCGCCGTCATATGGTGTCACATCTACGCCGCCCTCATCCTTGCTCTCTGCACTGTTGTATGCCGAAAATTCCCGATACCGTCCGGGACTCGGACGCGGGCTCCGGCCTGCTAGCAATGAGCGCGTTGATCTGGGTTGTGAGGCGGTTCCAGCACCTGACCGGCGACCTCCGTCGCATTGCCACCAGCATGGACAAGCCCACCGTCTCGGGGTTGAAGGCGCTGCGGAACGAGATGGTAGCCCTCATCAAGAAGCAAGTCCCGCTCATACGGTCGGGGAAAACCGTTGTTGCTGCCGACGCCTGTGACGACGACGGCGAGGAAGTCCATTCTGCATCCGTACCAGTAGGGGTCGCCCCGAACGTCGCTGATGCGCGTGGCAAGTCGGGAGTCGGCGTCGACGAGGCCGATGCGGCCGCAGGAAAGGGGGTGACCGGGACTGAGGTTGTTCACGGGGATGATGATGGGGTCCAGGATCGCGAGGAGGAACGTGAGGGTGAGGGGGGCTCGGAGGAGTCGTCGGGGTCGAGGTCGGGGTCGGTATCGGGGTCGGGCTCGGAGTCGGAGGAGGAGCAGGAGCAGGAGACGCAGGAGCACGAGAGGCAGCACCAGGAGGAGCAGTTGGTAGAGGTGGAGGACGTGGAAATGGCGGAGGGGTACGTTGTCGGAGGAGCGGAGGGGTACGTTGTCGGAGGAGCGGAGGAAACGGGTGGGAGATCGGCGGATGTCGAGAACGACGAAGGGGAGGGGAAGGGTGCGACAGCGAATATCGGCGAGGTCGGCGTGGAGGCGGCTCACGGAGGTGGTGGCATGGTCAAGGTCGGTGAAGGGGATAACGCCGCGGTCCCGGAGCAGAGGGGCGTGGATGTGCATACCGATGCCACCGCGGAGAAGGCCGGCGGGGAGCGGTCTAGGAGGAAGAAGGCGGCGAGCGGTCATCCCGGTTCCACCGCGGCTGGGCGGCAGGCGCGGCTGGACGTCGTCGATCAGCTGAGGGCGGAGAACAGGCGATTGCGTGCAGACAATGCACTCCTTGAACGGCGGCTCGGTGAGCAGACGGGGCGGGTCGACAGCTTGGCGGCGGCATTAGCTGGGCTCCTCGAGAAGGTGAAGGGTTTGACCGCCCAGGTCGCCGACACCGACCGGAAATCGGAGGAGCGCCTCAAAGAGGCCACGTCGACCATGGCGACCACAATCACCGAGGGCCTCACCGACAACATGGACAGCGCCATTCAATCGGCCAAGTCCTTCGCCGAGCTAGCGAGGCAGACGCTGCTGGATCTTGACGACCCCAAGGGACGAGCGGCGGTCGCACGCGCGACCGCGGTGAAGACAGTGACCGAGCACGTGACGGCGGAGGTGGGCGAGGCGAGGAAGGGGTTGGAGGAGTCGTTCATCAAATACATCGGCGCCGCGCAGACCAACATTGCCGCCGCCGTCGCGCCCCGCCTAGTCCAGCCGCCGCCGCCTACCGGCCCAGCGCAGGCCTTGCCGGAAGATTTCCTGAAGTCTTTCAAGGAGGACGTGCTGAAGGCGGTGACGGAGACCACGCAGCAGTCCTTCCTCGCCTCTGGACTGAAGATAATGGCCGAGGTCGTCGGCACGGTGGCGTATGCTCGGCGTGGGTCGTCGCCGTCGGCAAACGACGCCGGCCAAGCGCAACCTACGGAGGGCTTGAAGCTGGGTCACAAGAGGCGGGGAGGCGGCGGGGGGGGCGACGGGGACAATTCGGCGAACAAGAAGCGGAGCAAGGGAGGCGGGGGGTCTGGCGGCGGGGGGGGGGACGGAGACGATTCGGCGGGCGCGAGGCGGACCAAGGGAGCGGCTGGTTCTCGCGTCGCCGGCGATGGGAGCATGGGAGCCGGCGACGGTAGTTCGTTGAAGCAGTCGGGGAAGAGCGTGGTCGACATCCTCAGGAAGCACTGGGCTCAGGTTGGAGCGGCCAGCACGGGCCATGGTGGTGGGGGTCCCGCCGACGAGCATGCCACTGATGACGCACTGCCAATGGCTCCGCCTTCGGTCGGCGTTAAGCCACCACGACAGGGTAGCGGTGTGAAAGGCCTGCGCGACAAGGAGAAGGCCGCCGCCAAAACGGCCCCAGGCGGGTCCGCGAAAGCTGGCCAGGGCCCGAAGACAGGGGTTGCGGAGGCGTCAGCGGTTCCTCACCAGTCTCCCGCGGGTGCACGCCATCCGACCGGACCGTCTGCCGGGCGACCTACCGACGTCCCGCGCCATGCCGACGTACCGTCTGCCGACAAGGTTGGCCGCGCGGGAAAAGGGGCGGCAGTTGCGAACGCGCTCAAGGAGCAGCTCAGGCTCCTAGCCGGCCACAGGGCTGTTCAACAGGCCCCCCCTGCTGTCGACGTCCCATCGGCCAGTGGGCCACGTGTAGTGCCGGTCGTCGCCGCCCGTACTCCTGCAGACCCAAAGTCCGCGTTGTTGCGCGCCCAGCTGGGCGCACTAGCGTCGACTGAGAGGACTCAGTAGGCTTCTGGCTCTGGCTCTAAGCCGTCGTCGGCGAATGTCGCACCACCCACCCATGTGGCAGCTGATGTGGAGAAGGCGGCGGAGAAGGGCGTTCGTGCCGCGCTTGCCACCGGCGGCGGCGCCGTTGAGGAGGTCCCCGCAGACGCTGATATCGCTGCCATACAGGCCCATCTGGATGCAGCCAATCCCCGAACCCTGGCCATCTCCGACACGGAACATGTGGAGCCTTCGGCGGGACTCGTCGGCATCGCGGCAGAGCCTAGTGCGACCGGTGATGCGGTCGGTGAAGGAAAGTCGAAACGGAAGGGGAAGGCGGGCTCACAGAGGAAGACGCGGGAGAAGTCGGAGGTGAAGGCGGCGGATAAACAGAAGGGGATGGCGGCGGAGACGGCGGCGGACAAAGATCGAGGCGGCATTGGGGAGGTTGAAGGGAAAGGGGAGAATCAGGAGAAGTCGCCCGGCGAGGGTACGTCGACGGGGAGGAAGGGGAAGGACAAGTCGGTCGGAGAAGGTGCGTCGACCGGGAGAAAGGGGAAGGAGAAGGCGGTCGGCGAGGGTTCCTCGAAGGGGAGAAAGGGAAAGAGGAAGGCGGAGGAGGAGGATGAGGATGTCGAGGAGGTGGAGGAGGTCGAGCAGGAGGAAGAGGAGGAGGAGGAGGAGGAGGAGGAGGAGGAGGAGGAGGAGGAGGAGGAGGAGGAGGAGGAGGAGGAGGAGGAGGAGGAGGAGGGGAAGGGCAAGGAGAGGAGGGGTCATGGCATCCGACACGATACCTCGGGCGACAAGCAAGGGTGGGTCGGCGAGATTAAGGTGCACGGCATCAATCGATACATCGGCAAGTCGCGGGACAAGATGGAGCTCGCGTACGTTCACTCCATCGCGTACGTCGTCTACGACGGTTTCGTGAGCAAGGTGCTCATGACCGAGCTCACCGGCTTGGACAGCGCCGAATTGGAGAGGTGGAAGGAGGTGTGGGAGGAGGTCAGGATCTTGCCGACAGGGATGTGGACGGTGATGTGGGCCCGGGGTACGCTCCTTCCAAAGACACGGTAAGTCGGCAATCCTCCGATTCAAAGTCGATGTCGTTGTCGTTGTCACTCATGTTCGCCCTGTTTGTGGTGGCGTGACAGGCTGACAGAGATCCTCGACGCGTATCGCCATTACAAGTCCACAGGCAATTGTCTCCACGCCGCGCTCCTGCCAGCGATATGGTACCCAGTCGATGCTAGCACCGAGGAAGGCCGGGAGAAGTCGGCGTTCATGATGTCGGCGATGATAGGTCGCGTGTCAATGTGCGCTGCATATGGGAAGACCGCTGCGGCAGCGGCGAAGAAGGAGGGAGACAAGGAGGAGAAGACGGATATGGCGGCATGGGCGTTAGCAGCATCCGCATGCGCTGTGTGGTGCTTCGTCGAGAACGGCGATGCCCAGCTGGCGGATGCTGTGGAAGAAGGGAAGTCGGCGGCGATCATCGGCGGAGCGAGCCAGGCGACCGCCGATGTATTCGGAAAAGTCATGGAGGCGGTGCTGAAAGCCGAGATGAACAGGGACCGCCCCCTGGGAGAGGTTGCCTACAACGTCGCGCCAGCACTCCAGAGGACCGCCCTTGATAGGGTCTATCCGGGGGGGAATGCTGGAGTAGATGCCGACGTTATCGCTAGAGCGACGGTTGAGACGATGGCGTTTTGGGGAATGTGCCCCGTCGCCGGGCCGAAACTAAGAGCGAGGGACATCGCGGTGCCGATTGACGCGCAAATGAAGGCCGATCTTGACAACAGGGGGAGGAAGGGTCTGAGGGGCAAGAAGGGGACGAAGACCAAGGGCGGCACGGAGAAGGGCAAGATGTCGAAGAAGGACAGCACGACGGCCTAGTCGACGGCCTGCTAAGATTGAGTGCTGCGTGGACTCGATGATGAAATGGTCGATATCGTTTTCCTTGTTTTGGCTGTCGGATCCCTTTGATGCTCTTTGTTTGTGTTTTTTTTTGTGCGTGCCTGTCTACTTTACGTAGGATGAGTAATGAACACATTAGCTAGTAATGATTGTCTACTTGAGTTTGAACGACACGTGAATGCCCCGCTAGGCCAAGAACAACAGGATCATTGTGAGAAACAAAAAGTCGACATCAGTATCAGTATGAAACATAGGCATGCTGCATCAACATCTACAACATGCAACAGGCCACAGTAGCAGGAGGCCTGGGAACATTCAAGCGGTTTTCTTGCGCTTGGTCGACTTATTGGTCGGAGGCAGCTGCCCGGCGCCGTTTTCGCGGGCCAGATCGGCCAACGTCTTCTTCATCTGCTCAACCCAGGTGTCCGGGAACAGGTCGGCGACCCACGTTTCGGGCTTTAACCCGCGCGCCACGAACGCACAGGCGACACGAAGCTTGGAAAATTCCGTCTTGCCGAGCCCTTTGACGCCCTTACCCTGCCCAGCATAGGTCGCTACGGCGTCCGCGTTGAGCACCGTGAGGGCATCCGCGAAGGTCCCAATGCCAGGCGCCGCTATCTTGTTAAGCGCGTCGACGGTGGCTTCCGTGTCGGCTTCGCCGTCGCTCCTGCGAAGCTGGCGCACCGCATCGATGACCTTCATCATGCGGCGCACCCTCTTCCCGTGTGCTCCCTGCGAGGCTCCGTCGAGGAGGGTGTGGCGGTCGACGAATCCCGGCTCCCTGAACCTGTCGCACAGACGACGGGTGTCGGCGCTGGTGCACGAGGTCCAGAGGCGCCACGCGTCCTTGACGGTCGTTGCAGTCCGCCAAGGCTACACTACGTTCAGCTCGTAGCTAGCCTCCTCGACCGTCTGTGGGGGTTTATTGGGTTTGTTGGCTCCTCCACCCCTGCTTGCCGACTCCGCGGAGCCACCGTCGCTCGGCGACTGGTCGTTAGCAGCTGGCGGCGCCTCCGGCATCCTTCGAGCTTCTGAAACGCGGAGAGCCTCGGTGAGGCGTGTTATCTCGGCCGCGAGCGACGCGATGGTTGCGTCGCGATTCTCGATCTTCTCCTCGAGGTCGAGCTTCTGGACCGTTGACCGCTCCCTCTCGAGCTTAAGCGTCTCCGTGAGGGAGACGACCGCGAACTGGGCGTCATGGCGGACCGATATCTCCTGCAATGGTATGCGAATAACGGTGCAGATGAGGGGTTGTAGCGGTCATAGATAACATCGCGACGTCGGCATAAAAGATGACCTACCTCTGGCTGGATGAGGGTTGGATCTTGCCGCTTTTTTATGGTGTCGGTGTCGGTCTTCTCGACCCTCTTCGCCCAGTGCTGGAAGAGGGGAATCCGGCAGAGCTTGGAATACTGGATGTACGGGTGCCAAGGGGTGCGGACGAGTTTCACCGCGAGGTCCTCGGCGACAATGCGGCGGAACATCAGAAGGGTGCGCCAGAAATGCACGGCCGCAACGTCGGCGTTGGACCCCTTCTTCGCGAGTTCTTCTGCCTGCAGTTAGACATCAGACGTGGGTTATTTCCGTGGTGGATAGGACAGTACCATGCAAGCTTGGTCGGCACCGATAAACAAACCTTGTTGAGGAGGTCATCGACGCCGGGGAAGATGTGCTCGGCGATGAGAGCGAGGAGTTCGTCTCCCGGTTCCACCCTACTGCGACCCAAGAAGTAGTCCTGCGTGAATCCCGAATAGCCGGCCTTCTTCATCACCACGCCGACGGAAATGGATGTGATGTAGGCTCGAGTCATCTTGTCGAGAGCCCAGTGACCCAGCTCGGCTATCTCGGCGCGAGGCGTACCTTGGATGGCCAACTCCTGCGCCCCGCCCGCCCGAGCGGCATGGACGTTCCGCTTGCAGAACACCCCATTCGTCTTCCACATCTGCCTCGTCCATCGCTGGTGGCTGGGAGCTGAGAGTTCGCCCTGCTCGGGGTCGTTGCGGGCGAAGAACATGTGCTTCTTGTACCAGAGCTCGCGTGTGCTGGTGTCGACCGGCGGAATGAGGTCGACGCCGTGAAACTGGCCGATCTGGTCGAGGACGAAGTGTAACCACAGCCCGGTCTCGCCGACGGCGCACAACTCCGCTTCTAGGTGCCGCGCCGCGTAGCTCTGTTGAAGACGCGCATCCTTCGACGTCTTCGAGTTCCGCGCGGCGACCACCATGACGACCGGCTGGTTATCCGGGTTCACCGACGAGGTGCTCGCCAGTCGGTACAGGAAGATGTCGGGGAGCGTTATCTCGCGTATGCTTGCACCGCGCATGAGGCTGTGGTGGGAGAGCAGCGTGAGCACCTTGATGAGAAGAAACCTCCACAGCGTCTGCGTAGGTGTGGTGAAATGCGGGCTCCATGCCGACGCCGCCCAAGCCGGCAGCACCCTCGTCATTATCTGGCGGAACTGTTCGGCGGTGTATGTGTCGCCGATGGTGCCGCGTCGACGGTCGGCGCATTTACTGTCGACATAACAATATATGGATATGAATATTAGGGCGAGGAACACAAATCGATGGCGACATAACACGGCGATGCATGCCAACTTACTCGAGGTCCCTCTGATTTTTCGTGCGGACCATGACCCGCACCTCCGACCGGACCACCGAGATTTCCCGCATGATGCCCAACTCCTTCTCCTTGTAGAGCGTCGCCTCCACCCTCGCCGCCATCTGGCAGGCCTTGATGCGGCCGAGGATCATGTGCACCGTGTAGGCTCGCACTGGCTCGTTCGTGTCGGCGTCGATCTTGTACTCCCGCCTCATGAACTTGATGTAGGCGCGCAGTCGCGTACTAGTGACCCGGGGGCCGTGCAGCCATATGTGCTTCCGCTTGACCACCTTCTCGTTGTCCCAATCCTTGCTCTTGTTGTTGTGTGTCCAGTGCCCTATCTCGTCGACGTGCCTCATTTGTTCTGCTGTCGGCAGTTTGTCGCCAATTTTTTTAAGCATCTTCGCCGTCCACCTTTTGTAGTCGTATATCCATGAGGTGTAGGACTTGAGCGTGCTCTTAGCCTCTATGGTTTTCAGGTGGCGCATTGCCTCCATCACGAGCACGTCGACGCACGCGTACACCATATCTTCCTCTACGAAGTCGGCCGCCTTCCACATTTCTCGAGGGACCGACGTGTGCAGCAGATCCTCAAGCTCGTTCTCGTCCAACAGTTCCTCTATGAACGCACGTTCCCCCCTAAGTTTTTCTTCCAACGTGCGCGGACCTGCACCACGTCGGGGCCGCGGGCCGTCCTCGTCGTCCTCGTCGCTCGCCGATGAATAATCGTCCTCATCCTGGTCGCCCGATCCGTCCGGCACAGACGACGGCCCGGCCTCCCCTGCATCCGTCGGCGTCGACGTTTTGCGTGGTTTCGTGAACTCCCCTATCGGCGCGGGCGGAACGTCCTTGGTGAACTCTCCCTGCGGGATTTGGGCCAGGGCGTCGAGATCGTAAAGCAGCGGCAAAGTCGACGAGGGGTTACTGGTCGGTGTACGGTCTACCGGGCGGACGTCCTCACCCTGGCTAGCGGGGTTCGGAACGTCCGTCATGTCGACATCGGCGGGGGGTGGGTTGGTTTGCGGCGGTGTCGAACGAGGCTGTCCTCTGGCCATGATACGGCGACCTAGGGCGATGGGAAGTCGGCGTGGTGAGGTCGATGTCAGAATCCCAACCACTAGACCATTGGGATAAAAGGGCTTGTTTCAGTAACGGGTCAGTGCGCCCATAACCCCCCAGGCGAACACGCCTGTAACCCTCTCCAGCATCAATCGGGCATCCACAGTGCAGATCTACTGACACCCCCCCACACTAGGAGGCCCAGGACTAAGCACAGCGGCAACGGCCTACATGTGCATACACCGGGAATCGAACCCGAGACCGCTCTGATACCATGTCAGAATCCCAGTCACTAGACCACTGGGATAAATGGGCTTGTTAAGTAGCGGGTCAGTGCGCCCATAACCCCCCAGGCAAACGCGCCTGTAACCCCCCCTAGGATCGATCGGGGATCTCACAGTGTAGCTCTACTAACACCCCCCCACACTGGGAGGCCCAGGACTGAGCACAGTGGCAACGGCCAACATGTGCATACACCGGGATTCGAACCCAAGACCGCTCTGATAACATGTCAGAATCCCAACCACTAGACCATTGGGATAAAAGGGCTTTTTTTCAGTAGCGGGTCAGTGCGCCCATAACCCCCCAGGCAAATGTGCCTGTAACCCTTCCCTAGGATCGATCGGGGATCACCAGTGGACCTCTGACACCCCCCCGCACTGGGATGCCCGAAGTGCATACACCGGGATTCGAACCCGAGACCTTCGCTCTGGATACCATCTCAGAATCCCAACCACTAGACCATTGGGATAAAAGGGCTTGTTTCAGTAACGGGTCAGTGCGCCCATAACCCCCCAGGCGAACGCGCCTGTAACCCTCTCCAGGATCAATCGGGCATCCACAGTGCAGATCTACTGACAGTCGATAAACTACTAAATGCGTATTCTATGTCGGCGGTATCTGGCAGGTCGGGACAGCAGACAATCCTACGAGAGGTCGGCGACCACGTCTGCCTACTATCACGACGCCGACGTTACGCCTCTAGAGAAAATCCAAGTGCCGGCCGTCAAGTCAGTGGTAAAAAAAAAAAAAGCAATGGCATACACAATGGCAGGCGGAATGAGCGACCATTTCGGGGACCACGGATGGGTATGGTCGTGAGCGACTCCGCACCACTTGGCGCTCCACGCAAACCCCAGTGCACGACGCCGCCATGCATGTACGCTCGTGCGGCGGCGCCGTGTCCGACGTGCCACCAGGCGTGCATGGCTGCTTGCTTGCAGCGCTTCGCTCATCATGCTCTTTTCGTGGCTGCTACACGCTGGCTCTTTCGTGCGGCAACGTGGCGTGGTCCCGAATTAGGTGCACCTCGGTAGGTC